ACCTGCATGATCTTCTCACAGCAATGCCAGAAGTGCAATAGAGCAGGCAGAAACACACAATGCTGCTTTTAGCTTAGACTTGAAACTGAGATGCAGTTATTTCTGCCTCATTCTTTTGGCCAAATCCAGTTGTGTGACAATATCCAAAGTCTTGAAATAGGAAAGGAGGCTGTGCCCATAGTGTGGGGGTTGAGAGGAGGAGGGTGAGCACTGCAAGTTACGTGGCAAAGGGTGTGGTTATTTAGAGATTAGAAGATCGGGGGCCATGAACTCAACCTATCTCAGCTCTTAAGAACTATAGTGAAATATTTCCAAGTTGTAATGCTACTTCAAAGGAGATAGCCATGAGGTGAGCTTGGAGGTAGTGAGGAAACTTGTGCAGAAGAGCTGGACCATGAGAAAGACATGGGATTTTCCAAGTAGACAAGGATGAGTGAATGGAGCAACACTGAGTTAATGACAGATGGGACAGAGTAGACGCTCGTCCCGGTAGTCTGCAAGTGAAGGGAACATTTGGGGAGTGAAGAGTTGTCCTATATGGATGGATTATAAGACACAATCCTTTCACACCATATTGTTTCATTACATTGCTCTTTCCAGTGAGTTACCATAGCTTCTAAAACATCAAAATTTCAGGCATTGTGCCAGGAAGAGTTATCCTATTGCGTATTCTTCAGAACATGCGTCATAGGTAGCTGCTTTCTTTATACCTCAAAAAATTATTTTGTTTAAATCAGGTGAGGGGTTTCACATATACATATTGTTTCTGCTGGGACTAGTGTTCCTTCAATATATCCATGCCACTTAGCTTAGCTCAATGTGTCTTGTCATCTGTGGCGGTGGTGGTGTAGTTGTTAAGTCATGTCTGACTCTTACGACCCCATGGACTGTAGCCTGCCAGTCTCCTCTGACCATGGGATTCTCCAGGCAAGAATACTGCAGTGGGTTGCCATTTCCTTCCCCCAAGGGATCTTCCTGATCCTAGAATCTGCCATCTTTGCCACATGTGAAAAAAATAATAATGAGTAATATTTGTTTGCTTTCAGAAGACATTCAGGTCTCATAGAAGGTGAGCTCTTCTGTGAAGCCCTCCCTGACACTTTCTCCCCCTTTCTCCTGCTAAAACTTTTCATTTCTCTCTTTACTTCCTTCAGAACATTTTTGTTAGGATGTGACTTTAGGTGTGATTATTTGATCACTGTCTCCTCAATTATATTGTTAACGTGTAGGAGAGCATCAGGCCAACTGTTTTGCATATAACTGGTTCCCCAGCACCTAGCATAATGCCAGGGTCATAATGACTGAATACTAAATATTTATTAAGTGAGTGAGTGAATGAGTCAGTCAATTTAATGACTGAATCAAATAGACCAAAACTGCTGGCTCTGTGAGATAGATAGGTTTTGCTTTATCTATAAACCTGCAAGAACTCTCCAGGTTTATCACTTAACTATGGTAATGTGGACAGACTATATTTATTCTCCAGAGCTTCCATTTGATCAGTATTCATTGTGGCTTGACCTGTGGCTGGATATAAATACTGGTGATCTGGAGATTATTAAGGTGGGTTCTCCTCTGAAGGTATTGCTGGTTTAGTGGGAGAAATAGAGAAGGGAAGGGGCAAGGACAATGACTGTGCTAAGTATTAAGATATGGGTATGAGAATATTGAACTTGGAGTAGGACTTTAGATTCAGCTGGACCTGTGTTGGGGCTTCATGAAAAGGGAGTCTGAACTGAGTCAGGAAGGCTAATCAGCAGTCAGATACATAAGAGGGAAGAACATTTTGGGCAGAATGGAGCAGAGGTTCAAGGCACTGTATCTCTGAGCAATCAAGGCCCACTATGGAAAGCTTCATATAATTTATTAGTGTAGAATGAAGAAAACAAGGTTTGGAAGGACAGGAGAGGAAGCTGCAGGTCAACATGGTCATATCACAGAGCATCATTCAAGCCTAGCTGAGGACTGCACTTTTTCCTGAAGGGAGTGAGAAGCAACTGAAGGGTTTTAATCAGGAGTTGGTACCATCAGATTTTACTTTAGAAAGTTTTCTCTGGACATAGTGGCGAACAGATTGGAAGGCTTGGGGCTATTGGGAAGAAGATACACAAAGAAGCAGTTAATTACTCAGTGTGATAAGGTCTCTAATAGCTTTGGTGCTTGCTCTGTGATGTTAAAGCAGGAACATCTAAACTAGAACTGAGGTCTCGGTCTAGACTAAAGGAAGTATTCGAATTATCAGGCTGAAGAATTTTGAAAGCTCATAGAAGGACAGAGGCACAGAAGTATGCAAGAATGTGACTTTTTCAGAGCACTCTAAAGGATTGTTTATTGCTGGAATGTAGAATACTAAGAGGGAATTGATGAGACATGAAGCCGGAAAGGAAAAGTCCATCTAGCACTCAGTCTTCCTCCTGTTGAATGTTGCTCTAGACTGCAGTCATCACATCTATACTAGACACCATTTTGTTTTTTTATTTTTTTATTACAGAGAATTTTGAACATGTACAGAATAGAGACGTATAATGAACACCCATTTAACCACCCTCAGCCCCACAGCTACCAACCCATGGCCAATTCAGTTCCATCTGCAATGTCATTCACTTCCCGTCACTTGCTGTTTTACAGTAGATCCCAGATAATAAATCATTTTATACATCAGTGTGTTAATATGTATCAGTTAGCTAAGAAGCCTTTTTCAGAACATAACCAGAATTATCAATTTCATACCTAACACTAAATAATAATTCTCAGTTCAGTTCAGTTGCTCAGTCGTGTCTGACTCTTTGCGACCCCATGAGTGGCAGAACGTCAGGCCTGCTTGTCCAACACCAACCCCCAGAGCCTACCCAAACTCATGTCCATTCAGTCGGTGATGCCATCCAACCATCTCATCCTCTGTCCTCCCCTTCTCCTCTTGCCCTCAATCTTACCCAGCATCAGGGTCTTTTTAAATGAGTAAGCTCTTCACATCAGGTGGCCAAAGTATTGGAATTTCAACTTCAACGTCAGTCCTACCAATGAACACCCAGGACTGATCTCCTTTAGGATGGACTGGTTGGATCTCCTTGCAATCTGAGGGACTCTTAAGAGTCTTCTCCAACACCACAGTTCAAAAGCATCAATTCTTCAGTGTTCAGCTTTCTTTATAGTTCAACACTCACATCCATACATGACTACTGGAAAAACCGTAATCTTGACTAGATGGACCTTTGCTGGCAAAGTAATGTCTCTGCTTTTTAATATGCTCTCTAGGTTGGTCATAACTTTCCTTCCAAGAAGTAAGCATCTTTTAATTTCATGGCTGCAATCACCATCTGCAGTGATTTTGGAGCCCCAAAGAATAAAGTCTGACACTGTTTCCACTCTCTCCCCATCTATTTCCCATGAAGTGATGGGACCAGATGCCATGATCTTAGTTTTCTGAATGTTGAGCTTTAAGCCAACTTTTTCACATTACTTTACTAACATGTGAGATGAGTGCAATTGTGCGGTAGTTTGAGCATTCTTTGGCATTGCCTTTCTTTGGGATTGGAATGAAAACTGACCTGTTCCAGTCCTGTGGCCACTGCTGAGTTTTCCAAATTTGCCGACATATTGAGTGCAGCACTTTCACAACATCATCTTTTAGGATTTGAAATAGTTCAACTGGAATTCCATCACTTCCACTAGCTTTGTCGTAGTGATGCTTCCTAAGGCCCACTTGACTTCACATTCCAGGGTGTCTGGCTCTAGGTGAGTGATCACACCACCATAATTAACTGGGTCATAAAGATCATTTTTGTACAGTTCTTCTGTGTATTCTTGCCACCTCTTCTTAATATCTTCTGCTTCTGTCAGGTTCGTAGCATTTCTGTCCTTTATTGAGCCCATCTTTGCATGAAATGTTCCCTTGGTATCTCTAATTTTCCTGAAGAGATTTCTAGTCTTTCCCATTCTATTGTTTTCTTCTATTTCTTTGCATTGACCACTGAGAACGGCTTTCTTATCTCTCCTTGCTATTCTTTGAAACTCTGCATTCAAATGGGAATATCTTTCCTTTTCTCCTTTGCTTTTCTCTTCTTTTCAGAGCTATTTGTAAGGTCTCCTCAGACAGCCATTTTGCTTTTTTGAATTTCTTTTTCCTGAGGACGGTCTTGATCCCTGCCTCCTGTACAGTGTCATGAACCTCTGTCCATAGTTCATCAGGCACTCTATCAGATCTGGTCCCCTAAATCTATTTGTCACTTCCACTGTATAATCATAAGGGATTTGATTTATGTCATACCTGAATGGTTTAGTGGTTTTCCCCACTTTCTTCAGTTTAAGTCTGAATTTGGCAATAAGGAATTCATGATCTGAGGCACAGTCGGCTCCCAGTCTTGTTTTTGCTGTCTGTAATAATGCTCAATATCATCAAATAGCTAGTCATTGTTTTAATTTCTGTTTATCTCCGGGCTTCCCTAGTAGCTCAGCTGGTAAAGAATCGCCTGCTATGCAGGAGACTCTGGTTCGATTCCTGGGTTGGGAAGACCCCCTGGAAAAGGGATAGGCTACCCACTCCAGTATTCTTGGACTTCCCTTGTGGCTCAGATGATAAAGAATCTGCCTGCAATGTGGAATACCTTGGGTTCCCTTCCTGGGTTGGGAAGATCCCTTGGAGGAGAGCATGGCACCCACTCCAGTACTCTTGTCTGGAGAATCCCAGGTAGCTAGTCAGTATTGTAATTTCTTGTTATCTCATAAATGTCATATAAATATGAATAGAAATATACATGCAAATATTTATATATACTCTTTAGTCAGATCTAAATAAAGAGCTGAAACCCTTTTGAAAGTGAAAGAAGGTATTCTCAATCATTAGCAGATGTCACTGAGGACTTTTGATTGTATTCAGGGGTGAATAATTACTTCAGTTTGTTCTGTTTTTTCAGTATTGCAGATGTCTCAACAAGTGTTTGGCAAAATATGAAGGAAGCCTGGCTCATACTATTGGTTCTACCTCTCTCCTATTTTCTTAGGTCTCTCTGCTCCCTGGTGTGCAAATGGACATACTCTGCAGAGAAAGGCTGGGATGACAGTTTCTGGAAGATGGTTGGTTTGGAAGACTTGGTTACAGATAATTACAGCAAAATAGGTACAAAATAATATATATTTTTCTGATTATGTGTACATATACATGAACATATTGGTGTTTGCTTTTTGTTTGTTTTTGTCTAAATTAAAATATAGGAACACATCCCTATTTTTCAAAGAGAATCGAGTAAGCTATGATGGGTAGGCCATGACTAATAGGCCTTTGTACTGGGGCTTATAGTAACTAAGCTATGATAATCTGCCTTGAAATGTAGACTCTTAGACATGCCACTAGACTGGGGAAGATATTTTCATGGAGCAGCTGGAAATAGCATGATCAAAGGTATGTATGGATCATCCCAGTCAGACCTTGGAAAATGTATTGTGATTTAGGTTCAAGGAACCAGGTAAGGGCATGAACAGGAAAAAACAAACAATTGAAGTGGTCAAAATTGGAAGGATCAGGAATAAAGCATAAACTGGAATGCGAGCCAGTTGTTCCTGACTAAAGCTGTAGGGCCCCTGACTTCCAGTTTTATGTGGCACTAACTAGGTAGGAAAGGACTGGATGACTAGCAGGAATTTACCTGGTAAAATAATTCAGATACTAGGTATATATAATGGTAGCTGATATGTTAAAGTTTCAAGATAAAGTTCATATTCATGTCACAGAAAGATGCTTATTTCGTATAGTTACTACCTACCTTTCGAGTAAGCTGTCATCAGGTAAGATACTCCACCTGATTAAAGAAAATACTTCTGTATTGTTTAGTGTGTCGACTAGGAGATTGGAACAAGACAATTTTCAAGTACTGTGAATTAAACAGGATGGCAGAGTATTTCCCTCTTATGTATTAGAACCGAAATAAGTGATTATCAGGCAGCTCTGCTTTCTTATAACATGACCTCCAAGTTTGGGTCCAAATTGCTTCTTCAGTTCTCATCAGTTCCCAGCTAGTGATTGGGAAGAAAGAAAAGGACCAGAGGAATCCATCCGCATTCCTTTGGTGGAAGCATAACAGAGAAGTGGACCATTTCATTTCTGATCACATTCTGTACACCAGCGCTTCTTAACAAAGCCCCACTAGGCTGCAGGGGTGGCTGGGAAATGTGATAATTGGTCAGGCAGCCTTGGGGCCATCCATGTGACAGACCAGAAATTGAGAGCTGTGCTGTGAAATATGGGTGAACAATTAGTAGTGTCTGCTGCTGTTTCAACTGCCCTTGATAACTGAGTCACATAGTAGATTATTTCAGTCCAACTTTTCTCTGGTGGAGTGCTCATGACTACTGTTGACGCATTTCGAGAATACAAGGACAGAAATGTGAAAGATCCAAGTAGCATCTGTACTGCTATGCTGTAGACATCATAGCTCAGCTGAGCGTGGTCTGCTCAACTAGTCATAGCTAAATCTAGGGAGAGAACAGAGCCAGGGTAGCATGCAAAAGAACCCTTCTGGACTTTCTGTAGCTCAACTGAAACCACTGTAGGATTGGAGCTTGCGGAGACGGGCAGGAGCTTGGGACCAGAGGAAGAGAAGAAGAAAGCAAACCAGCGATCGTTAGTCATTAGTGGCATTCTAAGTCCTTTGGTTGGTGGTTTGGTAGGCGATCAATTCATTTATCTCATTTGGCCCTCACAAACCTATTCGTCTAGGTGTTCCCAATTTTCAGATGGAAAAACTGAGATTCAGTTCTTCTATTTGCTCTTGTAGGGTCATTATTAGGACCGCGGTCTCTAACTCTATACTTTCCTAACAAAGCAGACGTCCTCCTTGGGCTGTTTGAGACTTGAGGGGACTGATGTGGCTGTATAACTGACCTCCAGCAGAGTTAGGCAGAGGTCCGATATTTAGCATCTAAAGCCAGTTTGAGCTTCATTGAAACAAACATCCATAGTCCATACTTAGAGAGATTAGAGTCTGAGTGTGATAGACTCTCGGCTGATGAGAGGATATAATTCACAGGGTATGAAAAGTGTTAATACTTTAAGGCATGTAGTACCTTAAAATTCTGGATATTCATACCACTTGGAGCCAGGCAGCCAGACAGAAAAATGATACTAAACCAAAAGCTTCTGGAGGGCAGGGACTGTATCTGCCTTACCCTTGAGTATCTTGGCATAGAAGATGTTGATAAATATCTACTGACAGAATGTGTACAATATAAGCATAGTTGATTGAATTGAAATGGACTGGGAAGTTCAGTTCAGTTTAGTTGTTCAGTCATGTCTGACTCTGTGACCCCCATGGACAGCAGTACATCAGGCTTCCCTGTCCATCACCAGCTCCTGGAGATTGCTCAAACTCATGTCCATCGAGTCAGTGATGCCATCCAACCAACCGTTTCATCTTCTCTTATCCCCTTATCCTTCTGCCTTCAATCTTTCCTAGCATCAGGGTCTTTTCCAATGAGTCAGTTCTTTGCATCAGGTGGTCAAAGTACTGGAGCTTCAGCTTCAGCATCGGTCCCTCCAATGAATATTCAGGACTGATTTCCTTTAGGATTTACTGGTTTGATCTCTTTGCAGTCCAAGGGACTCTCAAGAGTCTTCCCCAACACCACAGATCAAAAGCATTAATTCTTCGGCACTCAGCTTTCTTTCTGGTCCAACTCTCAAATCCATACATGACTACTGGAAAAAACCACAGCTTTGACTAGATGGACCTTTGTTGGCAAAGTAATGTCTCTGCTTTTTAATATGCTATCTAGGTTGGTCATAACTTTTCTTCCCAAGAGCAAGCGTCTTTTAATTTCATGGCTGCAGTCACCATCTGTAGTGATTTTGGAGCCCAAGAAAATAAAGTCTGTCACTGTTTCCATTGTTTCCTCATCTATTTGCCCTGAAGTGATGGGATCAGATGCCATGATCTTAGTTTTTTAAATGTTGAGTTTTAAGCCAACTTTTTCACTCTCTTCTTTTACTTTCATCAAAAGGCTCTTTAGTTCCTCTTTGCATTCTGCCATAAGGGTGGTATCATCTTCGTATCTGAGGTTATTGATATTTCTTCCTGCAGTCTTGATTCCAGCTTGTGCTTCATCCAGTCTGGCATTTCTCATGATGTACTCTGCATATAAGTTAAATAGGCAGGGTGACAATATACAGTCTTGACATATTCCTTTCCCAAGCTCAAACCATGTCCTTGTCTGGTTCTAATTGTTGGTTCTTGACCTGCATACACACTTCTTAGGAGGCAGGTAAGGTGGTCCGGTATTCCCATCTCTTGAAGAATTTTCCACAGTTTCTTGTAATCCCCACAGTCAGACGCTTTGGTGTGGTCGATAAAGCAGAAATAGGCATTTTTCTGGATCTCTGTTGCTTTGTCAATGATCCGGTGTATGTTGGCAATTTGATCTTTGGTTCCTTTGCCTTTTCTAAGTCCAACTTGAGTGTCTGGAAGTTCTTGATTCATGTACTGTTGAAGCCTCGCTTGAAGAATTTTGAGCATTACTTTGCTCGTGTGTAAGATGAGTACCTCCTAATCAACTCTAATCTCCAAATACATTGGAGGCTAGACCTTTAGCATATGAATCTTGGGTACACAATGTAGCCTTCAACCCCAGGGTACTAGTTCATTGGTCATTGGTGCTAAAGGAGGGGCCCCTAAGTTTTAAGTCTCCAGTCTGATGTTCTGGAGGTACCCCATAAGTTCCCTGCCTTGAAGGAGAATCATCAAGACTGGGTCCCAGGGGCAGGACTGTTGTCATCTAATTGAGGACTGCAGGAAAGTTGGATCTAAAACATGAAACTGGGAGCAAGGGTAGTTTTAGTTTTAGCATTAATTGTATGAACTTATACAAGTCTCATAATGCTTTTTTATCTCTATAGTCTTGTCTATGAAAGATATAGTTAATGGTAGAATTAAAAGTAATAGTGTATTGTTTCTGAGACATAGTACTATTGCATTACAACCATTATCTTTCAAAATTCTCCAAACAGCATAACAAAGTTATTTTTAGTTATCTTGTTCTACAGCTGAAGCAGTCAAGGTTCAGAAAAAGGAAGGGTGTCTAGCCTTTGGTTGCACAGTTTGCAAATGGTAGAGGCAGAATTCAAACCTATGTTTGGAGGATTCCAAATCCTGCCTTAACCATGACACTGTATTGACTTCCAAATAATATTGATTGGGGTCTATAGTAGGCAATAAATAAATGCTAAACCTCCTTCCCCTTCTGTATTTCAAGCACATTTCTATGTGGTTTTAAGTACCTTGTTGCAAGTAATTTTCACAACCAGTGGCAAAAGTGTACAGTTACTTTGTTTTTAGATGAGAATCAGAGAGAGAAGGAACTTTCTGTAACCACATGCAGAATCAATAAGTGATGTCCAGAATTAAAACTTGCTCTGTGGTATAGCCTAGAAGAGCTAATAGTTTACTGGAACACAAATTTCAACTTCAGTTGTTTCATTGTTTCAGTGATTTTTAAAATTTATTTGTCCACCCTTTCCCTGAGATTTAGTTGTTTGTCCCTGAATATTTCCACGGTGTGTTGAATGCAGCTTTATTATAGTATACATTGATTACCTGTTAGATGTCTTCATTTTACTGTAGACTGTAAGGTTCTTGACCTGTGAATTTTCACTTGTTTACCTTTCTGTTATGGTCCTAGCACAAGACATGGCACATTTTAGCAGCTAAATTACTCTTTGATTAGTAAGTGGATAAGGATAAATGAATGACTGGGGTGGCTGGTACTGGGATATCCAGTTTTCACTTCTAAAAGCTCTAGTGCTCTTTACTAATTTTAGCAGGATTTTAGGTGATTTGGGTCCAACCTCAACTCTGATTTTCTGATTATTTTCATCTTTTTGTGCTCCTCTCCCAACCCCCCCAAGCACAAGATCCATGTTTTATAAGTATATTAGCTCTGCTAATAGAGCAATACCTACAGGAAATATTCATTAAAAGTCTATAATGTTAACCTCACAGAAAATTTCCAGAGTAACTTTATTAGATTTTGCCTGTTAAGTTAATGGATTTTTAATGGATGTCATAAGGAGACATATCATTAACCAGAATATTACCATATGTGAATTAAAACTTACCCATTCATCAAAAT